GGGGGGCCCAGGCGATGCTCTCACACCCCCGGCTGTGCTCACCCCCCTCCCCGCAGGGGCTAGAGGAGGTGAGGACCCGGCTTGGCGTCTCTGAGCAGGATCCGGACGAGCCTGAGCTGAGCATGCCAGAGCCAGCGCCGCTCGGCGTGGATAAGAAAGCGGCGGAGAAGAAGCGGGTGGAGAAGGTGGGAGCCAAAGGCAGCGCTACCGGGCCTCCAGGTAGGTGTGCAGGAAAGCCCTTCTCTGCCCCAAAAAGTCCAGCCTGGCCCCAGGTGGCCACAGAGGCGCAGACCCTCTCCTACATCCCCAGTCAGCACAGGAGGCACTGTCTGACCATGGAGCGGTGACGGGATGAGCTCTGCTCTCCGTGGTCCCCTGGGGAGCTCAGCGACACAGAGGTGGTCTTCCCATCCACCTCCCAAACCCCACTCCTCCTCCTACTCCTCCTCCCTGCCTGGGCCTGCTGCCGGGCAGGGAGCAGCAGAGCCAGGAGCACGGGCAGAGGTTTTCCCTGCTTGAGCCCCAGGATGCCGTAATGCCATCGTGGCCCAAACACCTTGGACTCGGCCCCCGTGACACTTTTCCCCAACCCTGCGGTGCAAACACCATCCTCTGCTGGCAGTGGCATAGCAGGCAGCTCCTGCCCCTTCCCCTGCCCCTGTCCTTTCCACCCTCCCCAGCACAGAGCCTTTTGCCGCTTCCCAGCTCCCCCAGTAACGCTGTTTCCTTTGGGGGGTCCCCCAGTCCCCAAGAGCCTCCCCGTGCAGAGGAAGGTGGAGCCCCCCAGCCTGGACCCCGCGGAGGAGCCGCTCCTCTGGGAAGGGCTCACCCTCAACAAGTGCATCCTGGTGGCCTCCGTCGTCGCCCTGCTCAGCGTCACCTTCCAGGTGCTCCAAGGTGAGCCGGGAGCTGGACAGAGAGGGACAGGGTGGCCAGACCCTGCTGCCACCTCCTGCCTCCTCTCCCTCCTCTCTTCCAGCACCATGCACCAGGGAGGGAATCAGCCGCGGCAGACAGGACCCGCCACCACCTCCTCTTCACGGTGGGTTCAGATGCCCCAGGCTGCCCCAAGCCCCCAGATACAGCCACATCCCAGGGTGGGGTGGTCCTGGGACCCCGTGTCTGGGACATCACAGCTGAACAGCCTTGTCCCCTGCTGACGGTGGCCTGTCCCTCTCCCCTGCCAGAGGTGGTCAGCGCCAAGGAGGAGGAGGTCCAAGAAGTGGTGACTGCCCAGCCTCCCCAGCCGGAGAGCAGTGTGCTTGAGGACGATGGTGGTGACAATGATGGTGATGACGGTGATGATGATGGTGATGATGACGACGAGGCTGACAGCAACCTGGTACAGGTCCAGGGGTGGGGAGAGAAGCAGCGTTCTCCAGGGCGCCGCCCATGGAGGGGGGGAGCATCTCATCCCCTGGGGGCCTCGTGGAGAGGGGTCCCAGTTGCTTGGGCAGTGTCACCTGTACCTGGTCCTTTCTTTCCCCCACTAGGCAGAGCCCTGGATTTTCAAGAAGTGGTTTGGCCGCTCGGCACCAGAGGATGAGGACGAAGAGCCTGTGGATGTCCCTGAGGTGCCACCAGCTGTGACAGAGGTGAAGAAGAGCCGGGAGAAGAAGCTGGAGAAGAAGGAGGAGAAGGCCCGGGAGGGCCGTGCTGCCCAGGCGGAGCGGAGCAGCCGGAGAGAGGCGCGAGCCAAGGACAGGGCACCGAGGGACAAGCCCAGCAGAGCCCCCAGGGCCCCCCGGGAGCTGGAGCAGCAGACCCAGAAGAAGCGGGGCCGGGAAGGGAAGGAGAGCCGGCGGGAGCGGGATGAGCCCAGGAAGGAGGGGTGGAAGGGCCGTCCAGGCAGGACCGACGGCAGCAGGGAGAGCCCGAAGCGGGACTGGCGGCAGCAGAAAGGCAGGAAGCTGTGGGAGCCGATGGCCACCCCAGGGAAGGATGGCACCGCCAGGCCCAGAGAGGGCAAGAGGCGCGACTGAGGCTGGGGCGACCGGTGCTGAATCCAGGAGGGTCCAACACCACCACTGCCCCCAGCAACGGCACCCTGCCGCTCCCCTCCTGCTCTCCAGAGACATCCCCGGGCCAGCAGCGTGGGCAGCGCAGGCAGCGTTCCAGGATCTCCAAGCAGCGGCAGAGCAGCCCATGAGCCTCCCCGGGGACTTTGGGCCCCCCTGGATTAGATGCACAAAGGCAACCCGAAAGGACCGGGGGAAGGAGCGTCTCTACATCTGGGCTTCACGCTATTTCTCCATCCCCACCCAAACTCTCCCTTGCAGTTCATTTTCACTCGTGGTCCCCGAGGCACCGGGGTGGCGCAGTGGGCACAGGGATCCCAGTGAACAGAGTTTGTCTCCAGACTGTGTAGCTCTTCGATTCACTTAATGGTTTTATTCAAAGCAAATCAAGAGAGAAGTGTATTCGGGGTTAATGAATCCAGGCTGCAGCCGTCCTCAGAGGGATGTCGGGGGAATGACCACCCCAACCTTGCCGGGTGGTGTGAAGCTTGCTGGTAATAAAAGAGGGCTGGAGAGCCCATCACCCGGGGATCCCTTCGGGCTTTGCCTTCAGAGTCGCCTTTAGGAACGAAACACAAGTGCAATATCACGCAGCGCTGTAGCAACTACAGGAGACGTTCACAGCCCCAACCCACAGCAGGTTTAAGTATTTGCTAAATCAATAGAGGTTAAAATAAACTATTTTCATTTTTAATAAGGTATTAAATTGAATGTTTTAAAAAAAAAAAAAAGAAACAAAGAAAAGATCTTGTCCCTGGTTATGTTTGTGTCTTTTCTATGCCCCCTCCGTCCCCAGCACACAGGGGCTCAGGGTGAACCCGTGTCCCTGTGTGGGCTATGGGACACTGCCAGTGTGTG